AAAAAGGGAAGCAATAAAAGCGTCAGAAGCGCACATCTAGAACACAAACAAATGAATAGATAACTCCGTCTTCGGCTGTCTCTTCCCTCCACGGATGACGCGAAGATACATCATGTAGTGAGGCCTAGAGTGAGGCCTGTCATGTACATGTACATTCAGGTGTGAGCCCCGCCTCTCCGTCTGACAGGTACAGTCAAACATGTAGAATGTAGAGAGCTGTCTGTAACCAAAGATAGTGCAGCCTACGGTAGGCTGTAACTGCCACACTGCACGGGCCAGCGGTGCCTTGCCTGGCTCATGGCTGCCCTCACCTCACCACTGACGGAGTTCCCTCCCAGACTTTTAACTCTTCCGCTGCTGTGCAGCGGGCGATGACTGCCTTTATGTTTACGGCTTATGACCAGGTGCTGGTAAATCATGGCACAAAGAGAGTTCAAGAACCTGTGGTGTCTTAGAAAAGGTCTTTTTGTATGTTTCAGGGCTTGACCCTTTATTACATTATGATGATGATGATGATAATGATGACGATAATAATATAATAATAATAATAATAATAATAATAATAATAATAATAATAATAATAAATAATAATAATGAAAATAACAATAGTGTGTCGCCAATATCTGACAATGACCAATCCCTCTGCAGAGGAGAATTAATTTCTAAAAGAGAATTCGAAGATAAAAAGATCAAGACGACTTGTCGCTTCTTCTATGGCCAATGAGACAATTTGCGAGTTTTTCTTTCTAATTCTTGGTCTCAAAATATTTGCTGCTCTCTTAATGGGTCTGTCAGAACCTATAGTTCCTATATTATTGTAAGCCACGTTGTAACACGCTTCGTTATGTTACGTTGTATTCGAGAATTTTGAACATTTGATTTTATGCAATGAACCTCGGACTGCCTCTGCCCGGCCCATCACGAATGTGACGTAAGTGTGGGAAGAGACCTGGATCTCTTCTATGAAGCTGAATATGCTAAGATTTCAGACAGATGTCAATACTGCCTGTGTGTGAGAAATGCATTTTTATTTTATCCCAATTATCATAATTTTCTTTAAAAACTGCATTTTTTTCCCACTGAAGGCCTTAAATTGCATTCCTTGAGAGTTGGTCTTCACTCTTCTTTCTATTTGTGTATTAAAACCGACAGACAGACAGACAGACAGACGTACAGACTAACAGACAGACAGACAGGCAGACAGACAGACAGACAGACAGACAGACAGACAGACAGACAGACAGACAGGAGCAGAAAAACAAAGATAGACTGAAGATGCGGCTGGAAAGAACAATATAAAAAAGAGCGCGAATGTGAGTGTTTGTTTGTGTGTTTATATTAATTAATAGATGTGTGTGTTTGTGTGTTTTCAGTGTGTGTGTGTATATATAAATATTATAT